AATAAAATAAAATAAAATAAAATAAAATATCATTCACACCCTTAAACACAACTGTATTTGGTGTTTGCAGGATGTTGTTTTTATGGCACTGACAAACAAACTGGAGCAACAGCTGCTTTGATAACATTCCTGTGCTCCTCCCAGCTGGGCACTTTTGAACACTTCTGTTAACTGCTCACTTAATAATTGTTTAATTGTTTAATTTTAAATGTGTTTCAAATCCTTTCAAATTTCAGAAGCTGGTCTCCAGACAAATAAAAAATGAGCAAATCAGTACCCCAATAATAAATTCTTATGGGTTTTTACAATCTGCCCATGTAACCTTACTAGCTGGCTACTTAGGAGCTTTGACTACACATGTCATAGTCTTCCTTTTTACATCTCTGACATAAATGTGAGCAAACATTTTCAAAAAATAACATCTACAATCAAGTAGAACTGATCATACACAAAACACAAAAAACAAAACAGAAAGCCAGATTTTTTGTGTAGTGATGTCAGTATTTCCCACTGGGTCTATTCCACAGCTCTGTCATGCGCACCTGAGTTTAAAAGACAGATTCTCAAGCCCACATTGATGTGAATTAGGAATCAAAGTCAGGTAACAAAATGTTCATGCATTGAGGCTCTTACTACACTATTTTTTTCCCTTTGTAAATAGATTCAAAACTGCACAATTAAGAAAAAAGCAGGCCATTTCTGACCATCTTGCTTGAGCAGGAATCTGAAAAGTATGCTAGAAATCCAGATACACACTGACACTGTAGGTATATCTGCACGGTCCCCATCTCTTCTACCTGTACTCTGCATGCCTGCCATGGCCCAGGTCTGCTGTCGGAGATGCCTGCAGCCCCTTCTGAGCTCAATGTGGTTGAGACAGCCCCTACTTTTAGAAGGGCACAGGTACTGCTCACCTGGCTGTGTGGCTGTACCCTTTGAGCTAGGCTTGCTCACAGACATCAGCACAGCTCCTGTCTTCCTCACGTGTTAGGAGGAAAATCAAAGACAGGAACTGCAAGCTGCGTATGTAGGAAGGAGAAAAAGTGGCAACTGGTGGGAAGCATCAGATTTTAAAGAGAACAGAAGAAATAAAAAAAAACAGTCAAGACTGAGAGAAATCCATTTCAAATTAAAAAAGCAATAACTAGCACCAATTCAGTGGGCAATATAGTTACACTTCACAGTTTGAAAGCATGAAGTGAATGACTGAATGAACTGGAGATTAATAAAAAAAGATTCATAGAATTTAAAAGGGTAAGCAATTCCACAATAAAATACTCTAAAAGGCAGTTAAGTTTTTTCCGAGTAATATCTAGAAGTACGCTTTAGTTGTAAATGAGGGCAGTTAGGGAAGGAAAGAAAAAAGTTGTTGCTTACACTCCAGTGACTAATAAGTATCCTCATTTCATTTCATGTCTACTTATAGTGAATAAAATTCAGTCAAAATGTCACATGTCCTTGCCTCCTAAAACACATATCATTTTATTTTCACATCTGGTATATGCTATGTGTATTATCTAAAAAGAGCAGAGAGACAGTTGAAGAATGCTGTCCAATTGCAACATCATGGGATTAATTCCCAGAGTAATCATCAATCATACTCTGAATAGTCACATAAGACAAGATCCAGCAGACTTTCTCCTTTCTACAGGCTCCCTGCACAGAACATCGAGGAAAATCCATTTTCCAGAGCTATTGAAAGCAGATCCTTCAACTTGTAGATCTGAAAAAGTCCCCAAGACACCATTAATCTTACACATTTACCTGACCATCCGAGGTATCCTTGAGCTCTTCTAGTCCTCTTATTTCTTGACTGCTGTTTTCTTCATTTTGATGAATTGCTAAAATAAGAAAGATAATGTATTTGAAGCAGGAAGGTTCAAATCATGAGAAGCAGCAAAGCAGCATGGCCCAGTTTAGATCAAATAGGATGACCATTCAAAAAACCTCGTTCCAAGTTTAGCTTTCTAGTTAACTCATTGAGTGGTTTTGGCAAACCCTGTAAGGTATACCTTATTGTGTCTGGACAAATCTTAAATAAGATCTATCTTATTTTCCCTAGGCAATAAAATGCAGTACTAAATAGTTATATTCCTGGTACTGTTAGTTCTGATAAAATGGTGAGATTTAAGGAAACCTCACTTTTCCATACATTATAACAGGACCTGGTGACTCAAAGAATAAAAAAAACCCACCAAACATCAGACTTCCCTTTACTTTCATTATATTGCAGGTCAATTCAGATTAAACAATGTAAGATTTATCCCTCATCTCAGACTTTTTATCCCTCATCTCAGACTTGGAAAATCCTTTGTAAGCAAAGTGGTCTCAATCTTAACAAACACCACCACTATCCATGGAAATAATTTCCAGAAATAAATGGTAGCAGAAGATTTTCTATTGAAGGTTATTTGCTGCTGGCACAATAAGAGAAACCAGTACCTTGGCTCAATTAACACTGCTTAACACCAACAAGTTTTGCTAGACTTTAGAGAAAAAAAGTTTTAGATCAAACTTCTAATCTCCAGAAGGGTTGAAACTAGAGTTATCAGTTTACCTAGCTAAGGAAACAAGGACCGCTTTTGAAGGGACACATCAGGCACACGGCTTTGATGGATGGGCAGGAGAGTTCCGCTGGTGTGCTTCCTCCTGTCCACCCCGTCTCTCCTTCACCCCTGGGAACCTGAGCTGGCCGTCAGGCTGCACCTAAACTGCACAGGTCACAGCACTCTGCTTTCATACAAGAATCACAAGAATTCACTTTAAAATGATGTCTGTGAGCTGAGGCAGCCCAGGATTTGATCGATGGACAGATCAGCTGTGAAAGTAGCAGCACTGCCTTCCTCAGACACCCTCACCTAAGCTCCACTCAACCCTCTGCCTGAATCTTTAGACATAAAACCAGGTCACCACAGCTGAGCTAATACCTGTAACCACGAGCCATGAGGTCTAGCTTGGCGCGTTTGCCTGGGTGCTCTGGGTCTGCTGCAGACAAAAAGCAGCCTAACCTTTAGGCAGCATCCAGCAACTTAAAAGTAACTTTAGACTGTTCTTGACCTCTAAAATAAAGCATATGGATTTATTTTATTTGTACTGGAGGCTTTCTGCTGATATTGCTATGCCACATAGAGTCTAATTCTCCCACCCCTGCCTCAGTTCTGCTATCAAAAAAAATTTTTTTAAGTAATAAAAATGTAATTATAAAAGAGGAAAAAAGTAATTTTGTCAATACAGTTTATTCCATTCAGGGATTTTAAAAAATCCATTATCAAAGGAAAACAGAGGTCTGGTATAAATCTTCACTAGTGGGTTTGCTGATATCACTTTCCCAGTCAACCTCTGAAATTCAAGGTGAATGCTGAAAACACAAGCACGTATAATGGGGGTTACATCACAATCACAGCATTTAAAGCTAGGTAAAATCAAAAGGTGCTTGGGGCATTGTGACATTTCCCTATTCAAGGCTAGAGAAGTAACAACCCAATGAAGCAGTCACCAGAGTGACCGCCTCAACAGCCCTGTGCAGCCCCTGCTTTCCTGGTGCAGGACAGGGTTTTCCAAGGCAACCTTCTCTGTCCAACTCGGCTGGGGGGTCTGGGCAGCCCCTTCCCACCTCCCAGCCTTCCTTCCCAAGACTTGCCTCATCCTCTCACATGCTTCCATATATGCCTGCCCCTCTTCTACCACTGCCGTTGCAGGGGACACAAACCATTTAGGACATCCACTTGCCGAATGCTAGTCAGAACAACCGGCATGAGCCAGCAATGCTGCAATGGCAGAAGGCATTAATGAATGCTAAAAACTGGTTGTTTCAGCAATTGCAAATTGCTTAAATCTATTATTGTGTTAGCAGAAACACAGGATTTCCTCAACTCTCCTTTCAATTTTCCAATTTCTCCTCAAATCAATTTGCTGTAGCCACTGATGGGCATAATATCCCCTCAGATGCTGGCTATTAATCACAGTATTTAGAGGAGTGGCACCTTGCTAGTGACAAGACTTACAGGTCCAAGTTTAAGTGATTTACATTGACCCAGCCAGCTTTTTCCGACAAACCTGAGCAGATGGGCACTCCACAAACAGCTTTGCTGGGGGGAAAAGGTTAGTAGCTGCCAATCGCCTTCTTGTCACTGGCCTCTGTTGTGAGTGTCCCTTTCCCTGCCTAGTCCAGGACGAGCACCCCAAGACCATCTTCAACCAAAGCGAACATGGACCTTTGAGGAGGTCTCATGCTGTTGCTAACCTGGCTGGGTTGGCAGATTAGTGAGGGGACGGTATCTGGGCTGGAAGTTACTGATAAGCAGCAAACACCCAGGGATGAGGGAAGTAACATCTTTTTCCT